GACGGGCCGGGGGAGCGGGCGGGGGGCCGCGGCGGGGGGCCGGGGGCGCATCTTCCCTCGCCCTGACGGTGGGCCCCGGGCGGGGGGGGCTTTCAAAGCGGGGTGGGATTGGCGTTTTACAGCCCTGGCCATAAAGTGGCCCCTCGGCTCGTAGACCTGCCCGCGTCTTCCCGAGGCCTGCGCTCCGGCTCCGGCTTCAGGGAGGGGTTCTCTTTGAAATTTCAAAGAGAAGCGCTCAGGGCAGGGGGAGGGGCTCGGGGAAGCCAGATTTTAGGGCCGCTCCTCAGAGGTCTCCGCGGGGAAGGCGGGGAGGGGGAGGGGAGGGCAGCCTCCTGGGGCGCCTGGGTAGTTGTTTTTTTTTTTTTCCCCCCGCCTCGGGAAGTGGGGGCTTGGCTTGTGTAATGACCCCCGCCCCCGACAGAGCCGCGGAGTGTAGGGGCCTCGCGCCAGGCAGGGCTGGTGATTTCTTCTAGGCGGCTGAGTTTATTTATTATGGGAAGTCATTCGCTCGTCGGGTATTTATATTATTTGGCGAGTGATCTGCCTGGCCTGCGCCCTCCTAGGCTGCAGACCCGTAAGACGATGCGGAGCTGGGGCTGGGAGGTCGTGGCGTCGGCTCGCGCGGAGGGTCCCCAACTCCTCCGGACCTGGGGGTGGGGGCGCGCACGCCACTCGGTTTCGATGGGAAGTGAGGGAGCGTCCTGGCCGGACGCCCCTATGCCACCCCCACCCCCTTATACTGGAGCCAGTTTGCGACAAAGTCACTTGGGACACAACGCCCCCGCCGGTCTGTGGCACTGGGCTTAAGGGGTGGGCACCCACACCACTCCTTGCCTCCAACAGAACATGCAAAGCGCTTCACCTAGCATCCCATAGTAACCCTTAAATAAACAGCTCCCCTAGGAGGCGGCCGGTCTCTCTCCTCTTAGACGCTCTCGAGGTCAGGATCTTTTTTTTTTTTTTTTTTGACTAGGTCAGGATCTTTTTAAGTTCCTCTAAGACTCCCAGGATCACGTATAGAGGGGGCAGTAGGAGGACTGCCGGCCGGGAGGAGAGGTCAGAGGAGCGGGCCTTCTTTTTACCCCTTCCTTTCTGAGGTCAGCAGTGGAGAGGTGTGCGATGTGAACAGACACCCCTGGGGATCGGTGCAGCCCCCTCAGTCTTGCTGCCCTGCACCCCGCTTTGGGAGAGCTGGGTGAATCCTGCAAGAGGAGAGCTGTCGGTTTCGCCAGCTACCTCTAGGAGCGCTCAGGAAGGAGAGGCTCCTGCCAGGCACCCCTCCTCCCCTGGGAAGCTTTTTGTAAGCAGTGGCAGAAGTGGGGCGCTTCCTCTGAGCAGGCTTTTTAGAAGATTGGCTTTTATTTAAAACAAGTGGTACTATTTTACATCTGTAAGAAACTTGGGAGATCTCACATATCCACTTAGCCATTCACCCATCCACCCACCATCCATCCACCCACCTATCCACCCACCGTCCATCCATACATATGTACATTCACACATCTACCACCTACCCACCATCCACCCACCCACCATTCATCTGTTCATTTGCCATCCACCCATCCACCACCTATCCACCATCCATCCATCCACCCATCCACCACCTATCC